TGTGGTTTGGGGCATATAAACTCTAACCGAAGCAATCGATCATTTGATGGGATATAGTTTTATGGTTACTGAATACTGACAATAAGTAAAAATATGCAAAATGTTTACAGATTTCAACAGCGTTTCAACTATGAAAAAATAGGGTTTTGTTGGCAATTTTCGTGAGATTGGGAGAATGGTCATGGAAACTTTAAGATGTTTTCAAGACAGAATCTATAATTCCGAACCTTTTCAGGGCTGAACCTACTCTGGTAGAGGAATGGAAGCAGGACAGGCATCCACAGAAAGATGCATTTTGGGAAGGATTACTCTTTCAAACTGTTGTTCATTGATGCAATATGTCCAACCCACTCCACATGTATTACAAAGAATAGGTTCTATGCAGATGATGGCTCTATCCGATGGCTGCTGCATCATCACTATCTGGTTACTATAGCCATTTTGTTTGACATTATATTTGAGGTGAGGTGAGGTGAAATTGGGTTTAACGTCGCGTCCAAGATTATTGCACTTATATAGCGACGTGCATGCACGTGTGTGTGTGTGTGTGTGGCTGCTTGTACTAGACGGGACTGATGCTGATTTATAGTGCTAGCCCCTTGAGATACCATGCCGCAGTTTAACATGATTACCCCACTCAGACACAGTATACTGACTCCGAGCCGACAAGTCCTTGTTTTAGCCCCTTAATGCCGAGCGCCAGACAGGGTAACAACAAGTACCATCTTTTAACGTCTTTTGGTATGACGCGGCCGGGGATCGAACCCCGGACCTTTCCCTCTCCGGGCGGACGCTCTACCACTAGACCACGCAGGTGGTCAGATTATATTTGAAGTCAACCATACTTTGGACTGATATAGTGACATGTGTTTTAAGGCACCTGAACTGGCTGTACAGAGTTGCCTGCCTTAGTTGTACCAGGATTCACTGGTTGTGAGTTCAATCTTGCTTATATGTGTGGATTTCACCCAAGTGGTTAATTAAAGTCTATAACCTGGACACCTTTGTTATTTCTCCCAAATTAGGCAGATATAACTGAAGTACTGTTCAAAGCTGCATCTATCGTTAATGCACTCTCTGCAAATTGTTTTTGACCAGTTCTTTCTTAGGTGGGTGCTCGTAACCCCATCCCATAACATGGACTTTTGATTATCTTGGGGCTAAGATTGCTTTCTGGAACAGGGCCCGCATGTCGTTGTAATGTTGCAGTGATTCTCGAGTGTATCCTGTAAGTTTGTTTAGACATTGCTCTGGCAGACATACAAACATGGACCCCAGGGCTACATACTGCTAGTCAGACATGTATATATTACGAAGCTTACTTTCAGAGAAATGATGTCAAATCTTGACAATACAGTGACTACATGCTGTGCACCTCATAGGCAGCTTGTGCTGTATACTCCCCAGGGAGCTGAGAAGGAGGATTGAGTGCACACTGATCCATTGATTGGGCTTATAAAAGTGCTTCATTATTATTATTTTTTTATTTTTTTTATTTTTTATTTTATATTATTATCATTATTATTATTATTATCCCATGGGTTCCATTATTGTCACAAAAGGCCACAGAAGTGTAGTTCCATTAACTGTTGCCAGTCTAAAACATGCTGAATACTATGACGAGCAGATTGCATCTCTGCATCTGTGTACCAGTGGGTTACCATGTCAGTACCAGACAACCTTTCACAGACCACTAGGATGTACAGTATGCCCCATATTAAGCTCCATGCTCCATTTAGCACCCCCCAAACCAGCTTCAAGACCAATCTGGAAATAATCTTTGAGGAAGCCCCCTGCTAAGATCGAAAATTTAGCAGTGTAGGAGGGGTATTTAATTGCCTAGTACTGTATTTGATGCATAATACTGGAAAATCCAACATTTCTGCATTCCCTAGAGTGAGTTGTGTAATTTGAAAGATAATATGGTAACTAATATCATCGAAAATGTTTTAGTTTCATCAACTTTTGTTCACTACTCTATCTCTGAAAACAAATGTAACTCATTGTTTAAAGTTTTAATAAGTGTTTTCGTCAAATATCTAAGTGTTTAAGGAGCTTATTTTGCAAATACTGTAATTGATTTGATGCTTTGAATTCAAGCTGCAATATCCGATAGCAAGTTATCAAAAAATATTCTTAAACACAATGGCATTAACCTGTCTTTGTAAAGATATTTGGATCAGAAAGATGTCATCGTGAGCTGTGTTCACGAAATAACTAAATCTTCAATGTGGCTCTTGTTTGGAGGGCGACTGATAGCCACATGTTATTTCTATAAGAAACCCATTAGCCAATTGTAACAGAGCCACGGTAACTAATTCATTTACTTCTTTGCACTCAGTTATTGCCTGCATCATTCTAAAGTACTACTTTGCAGAGGAAACTGTGATGTAAACAGCTGTGCAGAGGAAACTGGTGTAAACTGCTGTGCAGAGGAAACTGTGATGTAAACAGCTGTGCAGAGGAAACTGTGATGTAAACTGCTGTGCAGAGGAAACTGGTGTAAACTGCTGTGCAGAGGAAACTGGTGTAAACTGCTGTGCAGAGGAAACTGTGATGTAAACAGCTGTGCAGAGGAAACTGTGATGTAAACTGCTGTGCAGAGGAAACTGTGATGTAAACTGCTGTGCAGAGGAAACTGTGATGTAAACTGCTGTGCAGAGGAAACTGTGATGTAAACTGCTATGCAGAGGAAACTGGTGTAAACTGCTGCGCAAAGAAAACTGGTGTAAACTGCTGTGCAGAGGAAACTGTGATGAAAACTGCTGCACAGAGGAAACTGGTGTAAACTGCTGTGCAGAGCAAACTGGTGTAAACTGCTATGCAGAGGTAACTGTGATGTAAACTGCTGTGCAGAGGAAACTGGTGTAAACTGCTGTGCAGAGGAAACTGTGATGTAAACTGCTGCACAGAGTAAACTGTGATGTAAACTGCTGCACAGAGAAAACTGGTGTAAACTGCTGCACAGAGGAAACTGTGATGTAAACTGCTGCGCAGAGGAAACTGTGATGTAAACTGCTGTGCAGAGGAAACTGTGGTGTAACATAAGTCACTTCTTAATTCTGGATTTTCTCCAACATTAACCTGACACATTGTGACAGACTCGACCAGACAGAGAGGCATTTTTTTTCATTTCTATTGTCAAAACTATCTTTTCCATTGGCGATTTAGAAAAACAAATTTCATTCTGATTTTTTTCTCTTTTTCTGATTTCTCACTTTTTAAGGTCAACGGATCCATAAATCAAGCAAAACAAAACATAAGGCCTTAGCTAAACTCATCTCACTGAAGGGAAGAAAGGATACTTGACAGGCTGGGAGATCTGGATGCTTGTATTGTATGCTCAAGGGCCCCTATGTATATGTGCATGGAAAGTGACCAGAATGGGTATTGTATGTCCACAATGGCTGCTGAATGTGTAATCAGTTGGAAAGAACACCATCTAATGTTTGTGGAAACAAGCTATTAACAGATAGAGATTGGTAGAAGTAATGTTTATGCTTGCACATATAGAAATCAGAATGGGTATCGGGTGTCCACAATGGCTGCCGAATGTGTAAATTGGTGGTCTTTAAAACAACACTTCTGGAAACATGTCATTAACAGCTAAAGGTTGATAGGTACGTAGAAACAAGCTTATAGCTCACCCAGATACAGACCAGTATGAGCAATGATGAGGCCTGGGTGGAGATATAATATTTTTTCAGATGTACAGCAGTTTCGAGAAGAGTGAATGTTTGAAATTAGAATATTTTACTCCAATATGGTCTCTAAAACACCCCAAAGGACTCAAATCTCTCTTGCATTGGTTGTACACACAGCTGAGGACTGACCAATTTTAAAATCATTGTCGTCTATCTCGTTAAAATTAATATTCAGTTTCAGTTAATTTTATTGTCTAGTTTAACAGAAACCTGCATACGGACTGACGTCAATCAGTTAACAGCTTTCACTTCAAGTGCCTTAGCAAAGGATGAACTGTCTCTCAGTAAAATATTACCATGTAACACTGCCCCTGACCGTGTGCAAAGAGATTTGTTGTAAGGGAAGATATCTTTCCTTGTGTGATCCACAACACCCATCTCCATTTGATCCAATTTGTCTTGAACATAATCATAAACAAACTCTCTATAAGCAAATAGTATTGATTTTAACCTGTCCAGACCCAAACTTTCATTTTATTAAAACTGTAGAACTCTTCATACATAAATTTTTTGAACAACTTGACAAAGCTGTGTAATATTGATTTTCAACAAGAGAAACCGACATATGCAACACTAACAGCTTCTTGGGACATCAGACCTTTTTCAAATACTTCCTTTATCATAAACACAAAATCATAGTTTCACTCACTAATTATATTGATAAATTGTCTAATAATGGACAAATTCATAATCTTCATATGGGTTCAAACTAATATTCATAAAATGGTTTCATTTAAATCTAGTCTCCATAACGTGCAAATTATGTCTTTTGACATTACAGTTTCAAAATATCCATATTTGGCCTCAAGATGGAAACCAAATATTCATATTTATATTAAATTGCGTCACATGACTGTTGACAGTGCACACCGTGAAGCAGCACACACTAAGACAGGGAACGTTTCTTTCTGTATCTGCTCTGAAGGAACATGTGGAACATGTCACAGTGTTCTGTCAACAACACACATTTCAATCTCCGACAGTGGAACCACAGTGGAAGGTCCTTTACGAAACACAATATTCTTAAATATGCACTTAATGTTTGAATGTCTTAATGTCAAAGGAACTATTAAAACATATAGTTTTGACATCTGAACTTTCAACAATTATAGTTATAAACAGTTATAGAAACATCAAAGTAAACAAACTAAACAATAGTGCCAGGAGGCTGGGAAGGTCTAAGAAGATAGCACCAGACTTTAGGCGACACCATCTTGATACAGGCATCAGGTTCTATCGCCACGACAACACATTCTGTATTCACTTGCATCAAGGGAATATTTCATTCATACTTACTGGATAATGAATAGCATCCAGGGACTGTGTTCCAACATGTGTATATCAACGTAGGCAGCTCTTTGTGCCAGTCATTTATCATTGTAAACACATGTATGTAGCCATGTACAACATATCCTCCTGTGTCAGTCCCCTACATGAGGCTGTTGTGTGACTGGCTACTGGGTGCAGAGAACCATTTCTCCAGACCTCATTCTTTCAGCGGTGACCCTGATGAACTCTAACCTTTGACCTGGCTGCTGTATCACAGATACCTCATGGTTATGACATGGGGGGAGGGAGAGTGTGCAAGGTGTGTGTGTGTGTGTGTGTGTGTGTGTGTGTGTGTGTGTGTGTGTGTGTGTGTGTGTGTGAGAGAGAGAGAGAGAGAGAGAGAGAGAGAGAGAGAGGATGGATAACTAGATTGAGTGATGGATAACTAGATTGAGTGCAGAGTTATTGTGAAGGAAACCGATTACCGATAAGCAGTCATAATGAAATCACTCCTGTGTTCGCCCTGTTTTGGTCTGAGGGTGTTAATCTTGTTCAAGATTCATTCTTGTTGTTGAATCTTACTGAGAAGGTTTAAGAGAGCAACAATAGTGCAAATCAATATTGACATAACATCATCCTTTTCAAGAAACATTTCATTCAGAAGTAGTGTGTAATAAATATTAAACTGATTGATTTCAAAACACTGCATTCATCAGAGATTATGTTGCCGTGACAAACAACACTTGAAAAAAATAAATTAAAATATAAACTTCACTTTTCAAGATCCCCATGTGGCCTACAACATATTTTATTATTCTCACATGGAACCAGTCTTACAGATTAATGTTGGCAGAACCATCATTCCTAACTTAAACAAGAACATTACAATGATTTTAGAATCAAAACAAGATATTCTTGGTGTTAGTGTTTGGGGGAGGCATGGGGGATGGCCAGGAGGAGTGCCTGTTATGGGGTTTTGTGAGAGACCTGATATCTTTTTGCCACTGCTTCAAAACACTTCCTATTGTTCTACCACACATTCTTTCTTTTTCAGGCCATTCAGCATATCCAGGGAACAATTAAAAAACAAACTTCTTTCAGACTTTAATTTTTTCAAAATTACCAGAACCTTATTGCTAGAATATACATGGTCAGTTCTATATTTTCCAAATATATGCTTTGCATTGTGAGGTCTTGGACGAGGCTGGTCTCACTTAACATAGACAATGGTGTGGGGAACATGGCCCCAGCTCACAAAATCAATACACTGGCAGTGTTTTATTCACCGACCGCTAGATCCCTCACCTAGTCAGCATGAGCAGCTTAAATCGGAGACCACTTTTTGTACACTCAGTGTTTGATAGCCTTTTTATCCATGATGGATTCTGTCAGGCAAAGAAACATTTCAGAATGAGAGAGGCAGAAGGGATACAAGGAGACTTTAATATAGGTTTCAATCCTGGGTTTTTCTGCATGTGGTCGAGAAATGATATGTTTAGTTTTTTTATCACCTCATTATTATCTCATGACGTCATACTAGATGCATCATTTAACAAACAGACTCTCAAATCAGCTGAAGACAATTTCAGATTGTTTAATGTTTTCTTTTGGACTAAAGTTTCAAATAAACCTGTCTGTGTGTTGCACATACATGTGAGTGCGAGTGCGAGTGCGAGTGCGCGTGCGTGCGTGCGTGCGTGCATGCATGCATGCATGCGACTGTGTTTGCATGTGTGTGTGTCTGTGTCTGACAAGATCATATTTTAACTTATTGTTGCACATGCTACGTGTATGTCTCTGTGCATGTGTGTCTCTGTGTGTCTGTGCATATGTGTGTGTGTGCACGTATGTGTGTTTGTGTGTGTGTGCACATGTGTGTGGGGAGGATGGATATCAAGATCGAGTACGAACTTCAAGAGAAGGCGAGTACGAACTTCAAGAGAAGGCGAGTACGAACTTCAAGAGAAGGCGAGTACGGACTTCAAGAGAAGGAGACTGATTGAGCAGTCATAATGAAATCACTCCAGTGTTTGGCCAATTTTGGTGGGCGGGTGATAATCTTGTTTAAGACTCATTCCAGTTGTTGAATCTTACCGAGAAGTTTTAAGACAACAATAGTACAAATCAATATTGACATAACAACATTGTTGTCCTTTTCAAGAAACAAATGATAGAACTTATCATTCAGGATACCAAGACCACAGGTACCACATACAGCAAAACAGGCGGTTGGTTGGCCTTGTGGTTAAAGCATTCGCTCGTCATGCCAAAGACCCGGGTTCGATTCCCCACATGGGTACATTTCTGATGTTCCCCGCTGTGATATTGCTGGAATATTGCTAAATGTGGCATAAAACCATGCTCACTCGCTCGCCCACTCACTATACAGTGAAACCTCATTAGTCTGGACCCCTTTGATCCGGACACCTCATCTTCAGGATGGTCTTGCTGGAAATGTCTATCTGTATCAAAACAAATATCACATCGTACCCATGATTTGTTAATATGGAAATTTGTTCATCCCGACGATTTATCACCTGGAATGGTGCCATCCGGATTAAAGAGGTTCCACTGTTTGCTGTTTTAAGTGTCTCAGGTGCTTAGAAAATAACAAAAGAGGGTACTTTAACATCACACAGCATGTGAAATTTGACGTCCGAGAATGAGAAAGAATATCTCTTGAGGAAGATTAAACTTCTGGGAATCTAAAAAATGGACAGATGCTGGGACCAATGCTATGACGAGAAATGAAATGAAAGTGTAACACAAACACTGATAAAAAGATTGTAAACATATTTTCAATGAAGTACACCATTTGTTTTTTTAACTTTGAAAAGTTTTGCACATTCTCATCTACATAAGTCTAGTCTTGTGGTTAATTGCAAGGTCAAGGTCACTGTTTCTGTTATTTCTTTCGTTAGGTCTGAGTGCAGGGAAATTCAAATGAGAGGTGAAAAGTTGATGCTTTCTGTGCCTCTGATGTTTAGCTAAATTGATCTGGATTCTTCCACCAATTCCGACAATGCATAGAGTATTTTCACTTGTGCACAGTTGTCGATTGTCTAGCAGACGGCAACATCTTTCCCTGAGTGAGCCCGATATGAATTGTCTATATCAGTTCCGAATTGTATCTATTTGCCATTTGGCATTCAGGAGATTACCGACAGTTTCTAAAATGGTTCATTTGACCTTGGTACTGCCAGATCAACAGCTGTATCTGTGACAAATAAATATATCCAATTATGACTCGCTTAAAACAGCATTTCTTAAGGAAATTTGCCAGCATGAGGTTAGTGCTATAAGGAATTATTGATGATTTCTGAAAATATCTAAAAGAATAGTCGTGTCTGTACGTTATTTTGACGTAACAGTATCATTTATTCAGACCAATTACAGTCATTCCCTCTATTCTGAACAGCAGCACAGAAATTGCCCCTTTTTCAAATTGGCCAAAATCTTATGCATTTTATCAAATGTGTATAAATGAGAACTATACTTGGTTCATTTCAAGATTTGCATGTTTTAGACTTACACTACTCAAAAGATGTTAAGGATCACCTGATGTTTTCATATAACTTTAGAATTGAGTGGATCATAACTTTTTTTAGTGGAATATGATTACACAAAATGCAAAGGCAAGGCAAAAGAAATGTGCCAAAAATGCAGATTTTGGAGGTTTCAGGGAGTGTTTTTGAAAATGAGCAAGTCTGGGACCAATGCTGATTGTCATAAAGACAGTACAAACATTAAATATTTCACCTTAGGTGAAGGACTTGCTCAGGTTATATTTTCTGTTTGAAAGTTTTCCTTTGGGTCAAATTGGGCTCAAAATAATCTCATCCCTCATCCTTCCGGATTAATGATTCATGGGTATGTAAGAAAGTCTCTTCACTTATAAAACACTTTAGTATTCATCCAGACTTTCTGTACCAAAAGGGTCCATATTCACAAAGTTTTTTGCGAAAACCTGTTGTCATCACTGATTTTCAGTGATCCATTCATATAATTTTAACCCCTACTTTAGCTTTTTCGCCCAATGAAATTCATTTTGGCAGACAATCGAGATAGGTTATTTTAGGACATTGATATTTTGTATTTATTGGGTATGCATACCATGTAAACAGAATGTAAATCCAATACCAAAGTTTAAAACTTGAATAAACAGAAAAGTAGCTTTTCAAAAGTTTGAGTGTTGATTCAGTCAAAGTGCAAAAATAAACCCAATGTTTTGCTTAATATATCTTTTCTAGTTTTCTGTCCCATTTAACACAGTATCAACTTCTCTTTGGGTGTTATAATGTAGATATGACTGAGTAAACTAAACTTGTTTATTTCCCATCGCTTGTCGCACAGTAATGCAGAAAGTAAATGCTTTCGTTGCTTTTTACTGAACTATTTCATGGTAAATGATAAATTTGAATATTTTCTTTGACAGATATTTATTTTCTTTGATGATAGAATGAATACAGTTTCATGATTGTATGTAGTGTCAGTCTGTTAAGATGGATTTTATTTATTGTTTTTTGATGAAAGAATATCATGCAATATTTACTTGAGGACAGGCAAATTATTTTCTTTTTGTTTTTATTTTTGTTAAACCTAGCTTCCTGAGGTTTTCTTTAGAAAATTACCTTCAAAGAGTGAGTGAGTGAGTGAGTGAGTGAGTGAGTGAGTGAGTGAGTGGTTTCCATCCACTTTAAACAGTATTTCAGCTATTTCAGTGTCTGCTTGATGTTGGAGGAAAGCCTGACCTGATGCGGATCATTTATCGCTTAGGAGAAACCCACAAGCACGGATATGGTGCTGACAAACCTGGGCAGGGAAAATCTGAGATTTCAACCCATAATTACATGTCTGATGCTGATGATGATGATGGATGATGGATGACAACGGATTGACCATAAATTAATAGGGTAATTTTAAGTCTCTCCTGTAGATTTGTAATATAAATACATCCACAAGGAAGAGATCACCAAGGAGTTTTCCATGAGTTATTGTCTGAGTAAATAATGTTCCATCACTCCAGATGAAGGAGTGAGTCAGATTACAATAACCCATGGTGTTGTAGATAGCAGCAGTTAAACAGCCCCACAGGGGACGCCATCACAGGGAATCGCATACTGTGCCCATTAAGGCTGCATGTAGTCACTGCTGCACCACTGCTCTGAGATAATTATCACAGCGATAGGATAAAATACACTTCTTTCTGCATCAAT